GGCCAGAGACAGTGGGCATCCGTGAAGCGTTGTTTCTGAGTGTGGAACTGCCAGGAGAATTACTTGCAATAAAACCGATTCCTCATAAACCTAATACAATTTAAATTTCATCACCTCCGAATTTTACAGTTACCATAGTGCTCAGCAGCACTACAGAATGTTCAGGAGGGACTCCTCCCTCTGCTGTGTCCCTAAGCCACAGTGGCAGCACTGACTTGCAGCAATGTGCTCCCCAGTGTTTCTTGCATCTGATTGGAGAGGATGAACCTCACAATAAGAGTCCTGGAGACAGACCCTGGTCCTCCTCTGAGCTAGTGGTCCTGGGGCCTTCTGTTCTGCTGGCGTTATGGTTTATGACAGTAATAGGGTGGGTGGAGGGGGCAGTGGGATGTCCATTCTTTCATTCATTCATTCATTGAATGAGTCTTGCCTGGGGGTTAGGACCAGTTGCAGTGGTGACAACAGGATGGCCATTTGGGGGTATCTGGCCTCTGGCTCTAGGGTCCCAGTGACGGACAATGGCCCAAGGTCAGGAGACACATGAGTTGCCTCATGGTCCAAATCCTAGTTCAATGCAGACAGGGGAGGGAAGCCTCCCCAGGGGGCTTCCCTGAGCTGACCTCGGGGACAGTGCCTATGTGGAAGGGATTAGGGGGAAGAAATGAGAAAATGCACCAAGAGCATAGCACCGAGGCTGTGCCAACAGGAAATGCTTGCTGCGTGGAAGTACCCTAAGCTGAACAGGGCGTATATGCCGAGGAGGGGATGGAGTAGAGCGAGGACTGTGCCTTCCTTAACTGCTGCTGGGGGGAGAGAGGCTGGATGGGAGGAAGCACTGTGGAGCTTGGGCCAGTCACTGAGGAGAAGTCTTCATTAGCTGAAAGGGCTGATGCAGTAGGTATGGAAGGGCAGTGGGCAGAGGTGTGGATCGGCCTGTACTGGACGCTCAACCTGGCCTGTCATGAGGTCCTCTCTGGCCTCAGGCTGGGTCACCACAGACTCTCCTCTGCGCAGGCCTAAGGGGCCACTGCTGCCTCTGTAGCAGGGAAGGCAGGAATGACAAACAGGAGCAGTGCACATTGCTCAGCTTACAATGGCTGGCTGAGAGGTGAGAGCTGTGACCAACACCCAGCACCCCTGAGGTGGCATCTGAACTGACTGGGTGGTGGGTGTGGCTAAAAGGCATGGCTCAGGACAGGGTCTCCCGTTTACTCCCCACAAACCCTCAGTTTCCCCTCACTCCTGCCCCTGAGCTTCTCCTGGAAGCTCGCCTTGGCGCAGGGGTAGATTTCTGGGAGACAGAAGCTCTCAGAAGCGTGACTAGGGAGAAGGAGGAGGCAGACAAGACGAGGAGGAGGAGAAGAGGAGGAGAAAGAGGAGGGAAAGGTCCCCAGGGGGACTTGCACACCCACCCACAGCCCAGGCCCAGCCCAGAGGGCTCCCACCCTGCCCACTCCCCTGCCCTCTCCCCTGCCCGCTCCCCTGCCCACTCCCCTGCCCAATCTGAGCATCTCCATCTTCTGCTCCTCAGGACTCAGGGGAACCAGGGGCTCAAAATACAGGTCACAATTAAAATACACGAAAAAACTAGTCTTCAAAGCAACTTGACACTGGTATAAGGCCAGAGAAATAAGTGACAGTAAGTAGAAGGTTTAGAAATAGCTCTGAATATATTAAGTATATAGTATATGATCAAAGCAGCATCTCCACTTAGAGGGGAAAGGCTGGCTTCCTCAGAGGAGACAGCTGGAAAGTGGGGAGCCATCTACAAAGGACTAAGCAAGACCACGCCATACCCCAAAATAACTTTTAAGAAAGATAAAAAAAATTCAATGTTATAAGGATTTTTTTTTTTTTTTTTTTTTTTGTTCCTCGAATGGCTTCAGGGCACTTTTGGCCAGCGGGAGAGTTGTGAGGTTCGAACTCCAGCAACCTGAGGCTGAGAGCTTTGTGGAAGCAGCCACTTAAAGGCCTGAGCTAGGGCCATGCCCCCTTCAATGTTAAAAGAAGTAAAAACATATTATTAACAAGTAATGCCACAGAGAAATTCTATATAATCTCGGAGAAGGGGAGACTCTGGAAGACTTTCCAGGTTTGACAAACAAACAAACAAAAACAACCCAGGGGCCATGAAAAGAGGTGACAGATTCAAGTACTTAGTAATTTTTTTTTAATCCCTATGGCACAAATACAATATGCAAAGTCAAAAGGTGAATGACAAGCTAGGAAAAAGTATCTGCAGCTCATCAGCCAAAAGGCCCATTTCCAAATCTATAAAGAGCTTCTGCAAATTAATAAGCAAAAAGTAAGCCCCACAACCTAAGGGGCAAAAGATAGGAGGACACAGTTGCTAAAGGCCAAAATACAAATGATCCAATCCTGTGACCAATGCCAAGAGAAACCCATCATAAGGAAAATGCAAATTAAAAGCACAGTAGTGAGGGGCCACCATCACCCACGGGGCTGCCAACAGAGAAGGGAGCCGCTGACACCATAAAGAAGAGGATGCTTTCATAGGCTTGGCCATTTGAGGCCCAGGGAGCATGCACTGGTGGCACCTGGCAAGGAGGCCATTTGGCAAGATCAAAATGATAAAAGTGCACATCCTTTACTGGGAGACCCCCGCCCAAGCCATAGTCCCACTGCGTGGTGAAGGACTGAGAACAACTGGACTGTTGGCTGGGGTCCTACACAGGGATTGCTGGACACCTAGTGGACTAGGGACTGTCCAGAGCAGGGAGCGGGAGCACATGGTGCTCCCCACGTAACCAAGGAAGAGATGCTGAAGCATTTGCTAAGAAGGCAGTGCACAGGGTGGGCCGGGCTACTCATGTTTAAAGAAAATGCAGGGCTGGCAGGACAGTTCAGCAGACTAAGTGCCTGCTTAGGCAAGCGCAGGGACCGGGGCTGGATCCTTACACACACATGCTGCGCCAGCCCCACCCTGAGCATGCTGACCCGGCCCCCGAGACTGGGCATGGTGACACATGCCTGTAATCCCAGCACTAGGGAGGCTGAAAACAGGAGGATCATTAAGTCTGAGCTGTGTAGTGAGACCCTGTAACAAATACATAAAAATAATTTAAAAAAAGAAAATGCAAATGTTTTGTGTATATTTTCTGAATGGGTTTCAGATATCTCTGGAAAGACAATAGGTGAGTTTTCACGTATACCTTTTTCTGTCTTGAGGTTGTGTGGTGTGTGTGTGTGTGTGTGTGCGCAGGATCTCACTATACAGCTTGAACTTTTTTTTTTTTGAGATAGGGTACCATGCAGTTTGGGATGGCCTTGTGCTCACTTTTGTAGCCCCCTGACTGATTTCAAACTCATAATGATCCTCCTGTCTCAACCTCCTGAGTGCTGGGATTACAGCTTTCAGGTTCTGGGGTTAGCATGGCATGTGGTATTAGGAATTGAACTCGGGCCCTTGCACTTCCCAGGCTGGTGCTTGTGCTTCTGAGCTATCTTCTCAGCCCTGTTTTTTGAGTTTTAGACCACATCAGTGTATCACATGATCAAAAATGAATTACACGAACAAAAGAATAAAAATGCCTTAGAATCTCAGAATACAGTGACAGACGTTTGGTGACAGAATGCAACCGCAGAGCTCCCAGGTCCTTAGTAATGCATCCATAAAGCCCTCCTAGGGTCAGCTCTGCCCTGAGATCTCTAGGAGGTGCTGGGGCAGAGGGAAGCACACCCGGGCCCAGGAGCTGGCAATGCGGAGAGGAGGGGCTGGGACTCCTGCACCAGTGCACCAGCTCCTCTGGCTCAGGGGCTCTGTAGGTAACTCCCCTTGGATCAAGCCGCTGGGACCTGGCCTGCTGAGACCACAGCCTGTGCCAGTCCCACCCAGAGTACCAGCTGCTATCGTTCTTTCAAGTGCTGGCTTTGCAGCCAGAAGAAAGCCTCGTAGAAGGATGTGTGGGAACCCACAGGAGACCTAAGGGCCCAGCGGGAGAGTGGTACAGGACCAGGGGCTGCACGGTGTTCTGTACCCCTGCAACACTTTAGGCACCTGGGTATAGTTCCTGAGTTCCAGACCTACGTAGCCGACTCACAGCCTTCCTGTTTCCCGTTCTGCTGTTCACAGGCGCCTCCTCCTCCACACAGCCCAGCCAGAGCTCCCAGTCCCTCTCCTCGCCCTGATCCCCGCTCCACTTGGGGCTGGGAGTGTGCTCTTTCTACCCCATCTCACAGGCTAATGATCCTTTCTGAACTCTTCTGCTCTTTCCTGAATGGCACGTCCGCCCTGGGTCCAGCTCTGGGAACGGAGATGACTCAGCCCTCTGCCATGGCCCAGGGCTCTTGGAAGACAGGGGCCATTGTAGTCAGGCTTGCACCACCTCTGTGCCCCTGCTATGCAGAGCAGGCGCTGGAGACCCGGACCCAGCACCGACTGTGTGGGAAGGCTTTGCTGTGTACACAGCCTGCTCTAGGGTAGGCCTGGCCCTGGGGGTGGGGGACATGGCTGAGATGGCAGTGTCAGGGACAGTTCTAGCCTGCACGGAGCACCAGACTGGAACAGGTTGGAGTTGGGGAATCAGATGGATATTAAAATCATAGATGCTTGCCCGGGGAGATAGCTCAGCAGTCTAAGTGTCTGCCTGGCAAGTGCAAGGACCCAGGTTTGATCCCTGGTACCACATGCTGTGCTGGCCCAGGAACCCCGGGTGCACTGTGCCGGCCACCAAAACCAGCCATGGTAGCATATGCTTGTAATCACAGCACTGGAGAGGCTGAGAGAGGAGGATCACTATGCGTCCGAGCTGCGTAGTGAGACCCTTTACCAAATGAATAAATAAATAGTAAAATAAAATAAAAGCACAGATGCTCAGAAATAAAGCAGGGGAGGCTCAGGGGCTGGGAGCCAGGCAGAGGACGCTGTGCAGACACAGGGGCAGAGAAACAAGGAGGGAGTCCATGGACAGAGGGAACGCAAGAGCCAGGGACCAAACAGAAGCAGTGGACATGCTGGGAGGGCTGGCGACGGCTCACGACTGTTCCATGACAGGAGCAGAGAGATCTTGGCAGAGCCAGATCACGGTGGGTGGGGGAGTCTGGGTCACCTTGGGGGCCACGGGAAGAGGCTTTAAGGAAATCATTTGGCCCCATCAGGGTTGTACAAAGAGCTCACTGAAGAACAAAGAGGAAAGTGAGACAAGAGGCCCCAATGGGCCGGGGTCACAAGATAAGCCATGCTGGCTTAGCCTGCGGCCAGGGGCTAGAATCCCAGTCCTTTCACTGACAAACTGGGAGACCTTTCTGTACCTCAGCTTTTCCACCTGCAGAATGAGATGGTGACAGTGCCTATACCTCAGGGCTGCTGTGACAGGTACATGAGTGTCACAGGCCAGGCTGTGAGGTCAGTGTAATGGGAGCCATCAGGGAAGTTACAGCCAGGAGGATAGTGGGATCCTCCTCTACTGCACTGACCTCCAGACCCTCCTCCTCCAGCCCCAGCAGCAGCCCTTACCTTGTGCAGCCAGTGCAGGTTCATCTGCTGTCCCACGACGATGTGACATAGTGCCAGCACCTGAGGAGGGACCCCAGGGTGCATCAGACCCTGCATGTGACCAGTCTAACCCAGAACAGAGTCAGGAAGTAATGTGATGGGAATGCCCAGCTCAGCCACATCCAGCCCAGCCCAAGCCTGGCCTCCTGGTGGCTTACACCAGGCCGCTGGACTCCTCTGCGATCTGTCTCTCAAGAGGTCACTGGACTTGCTGCGTTTGCAATGTCCAACCTAACTCGCCAAGTGTTGGGATTCTAAAACAGATTTGCACCCTGGCTGCAGGATCCCTGCCCAGAACAGAGCAGGCTAGCGTCTCCTGAGGAGAGTACTAGGAGCAGAGGTCCCAGGAAAGGCACATGCGGGGATACAGGAGCTGGATGGCTCTTGCCAGGCTCGAGGAGGTAACTAGGGGGAGCCTGGCCAAACATGAACCTCCCACCTCAGAGGGGCACCACTGCCAGGTTCCTACTGAGGCCAGAACAGGGCCCTCCAAGTCTCCCTCCCCCTGGGGACAAGGCCACCTGATCTCCAGGACATCCCTACATACCAAGAGGCCTGCAATGTATGTGAAGGCAGTGGCTGTAGTCACAAGAATGGGCACAGACCAGTCGCTCCAGTAGCCCATGCGGTTGTAGAGGTACCTGCGGGAGGAGAAGGGCAGAGGCTGCATCTCCCCTAAGGCCGCCTACCTAGCCCAGGAACCTGGGTGGTCTCCCCTGTCACACAACTGCAGCTAGGCAGACCACAGGCTGGGCACAGGGCCTGGGCTTTGGCCATCCCATACTGGCACTCGGCTGTCCCGTACTGTCAGTCCTGCCTGTGCCAGGCAGACACTTGGCGCCCAAGAGCATCCTGAGAAAAATAATTCTACTCCCCAGAAGTAGCTGCTACCAGGACCACAGTGGACTGCCTATCGATTTGTGCGAACACCAAAGCTGGGACCCCACTGCACCTAGGAAGTGGGCAGGAGAACGGCTCTCGGTGAGGCACACACATTCGACTTGGATCCTCACTGTGCCTCTTACTGGCTTGCAGGGCCTTGTAGAGGAGGCAGGATTCACCAATTCCTAGATGCCCTCGGCCATGACGCTCTTATTTATTTATTTGGGACAGGGTCTCACTATGCAGCTTGGATTTGTAGTGATCCTCCTGTCTCAGCCTCCTCAGTGCTGGGATTACTAGCATGCGCCACCATGCCCAGTTTCAGTGACCAACACAGCACACCTGGGGTTCTGGGGCCAGCACAGCATGCAGTACCAGGAATCAAACCCAGGTCCTTGCACCCGCCAGGCAGGTGTTTAGACCGCCAAGCTATCTCCCCAGCCCCATAACACTCATCTTGATTTCAATGTGCCCCAGTACCGCGAAAAAAGCCAAAACAAAACCAAACCTGATTTCAATGTGAAATGTGACAACACACCTTCGGATGGATCAAATGTAACACTGTCCTAGTGTCCCCCTCCATAGGATGGGGATAAGAAGAGAATGTCTTTCAGAGGGCTTTGAGAGGATAAGAAGGGATGATGCACAGGGTGCATACTCAAAATACTCAACTCAAGTTTTCACTGATGTCAGTAAAAGTGCTGAGGAAATGTGACTTTTTAAAAAATAGCCACGTGGTATCTGACTTCAGGTACCTTACGTGGTCAGCTTCCTATTAATGGCTCTTCGTAGCTTCCAGTTGTTCTCTATTATGACAACATAAAACTGAAAAACCTGTACACACTTTGTATATTTCTGAGTATTCCCTTAGGCTAGATTCTTATAATACAGTTATAAATACTTATAAATAGAACTGGGTTCAAAGGGGAGAAACTTCGGAAGGCTCCTGACAGATGCTCAGCTGCTCCCCACAAAGACAAAACCACTCGTCTCTTTCTTGTGCAACTGGGAAAGCAGAGGCTCAGAAGAGGCAGCAGCTTGCTCAAGGTTCTTGGGGGGCCTGGGCTGGCACGAGGCCATGTGAGCCGGCCACCATCCTGGACCTCAGCTAGAGGCTGGGAGGCGACACCAGGAGAACCCGTGGGGCGCCTGCCTCCCTACCCCGGCCCCGGGGGGCCTCACGCTCAGAGTCCAGGCATGCTGACTGAGTACGCTCACCTCACTGCAAGCTGGAGAGACCGAAGCCCACCCAGAAGGAAGACTTGTAACTACTCCTGGGAGATGCTCTCTGGTTCCACCGTCTCTTACGTGCAATTACTTTTGGCACAGAGCCTTTGGGAAAGCAACTGCCAGACACCCTCCCTGTCTTGCTCTGCCCCACTGATATCCTGGGTCTCACTCACAGCTTTCTACTGCACGGACTAACCAACCCCAAACACTTGAGGCCCTCCTGAACCCCCCAGACCAAGCCCCCAGGAAACTGAGGTGACAGGCTAAGGAGCTACAGGTCCCTGGCATCCCTGGGTGCCCAGGCAGGCCTTTCCTTGCAGCCTCCCTGACAAGGCAGGCACCTGTCCTCTGACGAGTCTCACGCTGACAGGGAGCTCCCTCTGGGAGCACGGGGTAGCTGGGCGGACAACATGATACATTCAGCCAGGCTCGAGTCCCTGCCCCAGATCTGTCTGCATCGCGCTGTGCGACTGGGTGAAGGCTGTTTCACCTCCCCGAGCTTGATTCTCCTCAGACTGCACTCAGAATGTCTTCTGGGCCCTGACTGATCATTACAGCCACAGATGAGTCCTGTACCTTTTGGGGCCTCAGTTTCCCCATCAGTATCATATTCTATTCTGGTTTACCAGGATCTGCCACCAAGAAACAGTAGGGATATTCCCATTTCTCACAACAGTACCTGAGCTTTAAACATCTGCAGGAATGAATAACTGATTTATGGTGTTTAATAAAGACCAGAGGCCACCTCTGGAGCTTGGCCGTATGTACTTCAGCTCATTTTGCTGGGCTACTGTGGGACAGCAGCACTTCCTTTATTGTGCTTGTTATTAACGGCGGCACAGCTTGGTGCTATAGGAAGGGGACATCTGACCCTGTTTATGTCCCCTAAACAGAGTCTTGGGATTCTCACAGAATCACAGAACCATGGTCTATCAGAACCTGAGTCCTAGGAACCCCGTACCACACTTCTGTCCCAGCCCCCTTCCCTCTAGAGACCCACTCTCCTAGGCAGCCATCCCGTGTGGGCGTGGCTTTGAGCCCTCTCACGGCCTCATTTTCCCCTCAGAATGACCTGATGAGGTCAGAGTAACCCATTTTACAGAGGAAGGGAGCGGCTCAGAGCACAGGGATGCACTTCCGCTCAGCATGCCAGGGTGGGGAGAGTTCTAACTGCCCCCAGCTGGCTGTATGACCTGGGGCACAGTCTCCCAGCAGCACCCACGATCCTTCCCCTCGTCCCACAGCCTCTCACCGTTTCACGAAAGACAGGCGATGGAAAGAAACAAGGAAGAGAAAGGGTCCTGCCAAAAGCCCTGCTGCGGGGCGTGAGCTGCCCACAGAGGTGGCTGAATTGCCCCAGACTATGGCATCTGCTAGCCCTGCCCAGGAAGCCTAGGATTAAGAGCCACTCCTTTGCCAAGGCTTTCGTCTCTCTGGGCCCTGGAAATTTTTTGTTTTCTTGAGAAAGGGTCTTGCTACACAGACCAGACTGGCCTTGAACTCATAGTGATCCTCCTATCTCAGCCTCCCCTCCTGGGATTACAGGCATGTGCCACCATGACCAGCTTTGGGCCTTCGAGCTCTTGTTTACAAAGCCAGTAAGAGGTGCCAGCCCCAGTGAGAGCAGCCCTGTCTCTCACTCCTCCTGTCCACAGTGTCGCTCTAGGGAGGCGCTCCTGCTCCCTTCAGTGCTGCTGTTCCAGCCTCTCAGGCCACACTGCAGAACGAGTCACCTTTGCCAACATTCAGGGACTCCAGGGGACCAAAGCCTCACAGGCCCAGGCCAGCTGTCCTTTAAGGCCCAGCCCCACACTGAACCTCCCAAGAAGTCTCCCAAACCCCGCAAGGGACAGGACAGGAGCTCAGGCTGCACAGAGAGATGGCAGCCAAGCCCTGCTGGCCAACCTGGAGAAGAGGTTCGCATGCACGTCCCCAGGTCCCAGCCGCTGGATGCCGGGGAGCCCTAGCCCACTTACCAGTTGAATTCATCGTAGTCGTTATGGACTTCCCACCAGAAGTAGAGCCAGGTGAGCGTGAGGCCGAAGGTGAAGGTGAGCAGCAGGAACCAAAGACGCTCCCACTGGAAGAACAGAGGCCCAGAGGGCCCAAGATGGTCAGGGATGTCACTCAGGCCATCGCTAACCCCAACCAGGAATCTCCCACCTCCTCCCTCTTTGTACCCAAATTTACCGGGCAGGATTATTGCCCTCTGTGTACTAATAAGGAACTAAGGCACAGAGTGGGGAAGTAACTTGTCCAATATCACAGAGCCCAGTCACAAAACAGTGCAGAGCCAGAAACAGAATCAAAGCTCCCCCCAGAGATGTGATCTTCTGGCCACAGCCTGAGGCCTTTTCAGTGTGTTGGCCTGCACTCTGACGATGGTCCCCCGCAGGGTGGGACTGAACCCGCTTCTACTCCATTAGTCTGTATGATGGAGAGCAGGAAGGTGTAAGAAGAGGAGGAAAGCCTCCCTTACTGCCCAGACACCTCAGCAGAGAGTTTAAACATGGTGTCTGCAACCAGACTGCCGGGAACTGCAACTTAAGAGCTATGGAGCTTCAGGCAGGTTATTCAGCATCCCTGTACCGTCTTCTCCCCTGGGCAGTGCATTCAGTAGCGCTCACACCTCGAAGTTGCCCTGAGAACTAAATGGGATACACTGCAAGCACCCCTGCACCTTGCGGCATGCAGGAGGCCCTCAACCACCCCCCCACACCCCCCACCCCCCGTGATAACCTGGTCGCACCAGCAGCCCTCCGCCCGGCTGCCACTGCTCACTGTCACGTGCAGAGCAAGGCCCACCTTGTACCTAAACAGGGCTGCAAAGGCAACAGTCCTGTGAAGGGCAGGTTTTCCAGCAGCTTAGAGGCTAGGATGGGTTCGGAGGAGCAGGCCTCCTGAGTCTGCCCCACTGGGACACAGACTGGCCTACGCTCTAGCTGTGGGCCCATAAGCCCGTGTTGGGGAAGGAACAGAGAAGTGGGGCTGGGAGCGGGGCAGGCCTGTGCCTATCTGGAGGGACTGGTCCCTGGGAGCTACCAGGGAACCGTGGGGACTGTTAGGGGGCAGAGAAGGGCAGTGGCTCCTCCACCTCCTGTGGCCTGGCACAGAGCTGGCCCACTCTACCAAGTCTGAGGCAGCACTTTTCCTTTACCACCCCAACTGCAACCTGGTCTGGCACCCCAGATCTGGTGCTTCAGAGTCTCTCCTGCTGTATCCACTTTTTTTTTTTTTTCTTTTTCTTTTTCTTTTGAGACATGGTCTCACTTGCTAGTTTAGGCTGGTTTAAACTCACTATGTAGTCCAGACTCCCCGCAATTTTCCTGCCTCAGCCTCCCAAGTGACTGGGTTATAGGCATGGGTCACCACACCCAGCTCTTCCAATTCTTATTTGCTCCTAATAGTGCTGTTTCCTGTAGCCTACCTGCAGGTCCCAGGCCAGCCTCTGCAGCAATTCCCCCCTGGCTATGTCCTTACCGAGCGCGAACTCCCGAAGGCCTGAGCTCCTTGGCAGCCCCAGGGCTGCTCTGACCTGGCCCAGCACATCTACCCCTGCAACCCCAGGCCCACACCATACCCGCAGCTCCCAAGTGGCCCCGTCAAGCCTGGGCCTTTCACCCTCTGGCCCCTTGGGCAATTCTCCAGGCAGAGGCCTCTCTTCCCCAAGGCCATCCTGGGTGAATCCCTTCTCCCAGGCTAGACACAGAGCCCCCAGTTCCAGGACTAACTCCACGGGTCAGTCTCCCTGCTCTATGCCTGCACACACTGGAAGAGCGAGGCAGTTTCACATTCCCAGGAGGCACAGGAAATCCAGAGAACTGGTCATGAACCAGTGGGTGGAGAAGAGCCCTTTCCCCAACTCCTGGCTTGAGTGTGCTAACCCACAGCTCTCCCTGTGGGCTACCCTTCCAGAGCCTGTAAACCTCCATGCACAGAGACACCGTGCTGGAGAGCCACCTGTCCGCAGGGAGGGCTGTCCCAGCACAGATGGGGCTTCTGTCATTGTACGGCTCTGCCAGAGCCAGTGAGGGGGGAGACTCACCCCAAGATGAGGGGCTTCCAGACAAGCAGCCTGGAGGTCAAGAGGATTTGCCCGCAGGTCACATGAAGCTATCTCGTGGGAGATTTGATGACGGATACTAGACTAGGGAGTGCTGACAGGGGCCTGGGGAAGAGTGCAGGCACCCCAGAAGTGGGGAGAGCCCAGAGCAGCCGGACTCCCTTATCCAGATCCTTACAGTGGGGCAGGATAAGACAAAACGAGAGGCTCCGCTGTGCGTGGTGCCACATCCCTGCAATCCCAGCACTCAGGAGGCTCAGGCAGGAAATCACTGAGAGTTCGAGGCCAGCCTGGGCATCATTGTAAGATCCAGGCCAGTCTGAACTACATAGTGAAACCCTGTCTCCAAAAAAAAAAAAAAAAGTGGTTGCGTGCCCTGCTCCTCCAGATGGGTGAGACACCCAGGCATGACAGGGAGGGGACAAGAGCCTTAGCTACAAGGAAATAGGAACTCCACGTTCAGAACTGGGCTCCAGCTGGCGTTAGGGACCTAGGCACTGACATCTGGGGAGTTAAAAGCCAGAGGCCACAGGCCATATGGAACCTATGCATGGGGAGGGGAGGAGAGAGGCAACCGGGTTTACACTAAGAACAAGCAGAGAAAGAGTCTGAATGGCGGGGCTGGCAGAAAGGGGAAGCTGAGGAACTGAGGAGGAAGTGGGCTGTAAGCAGCTCTGCTGATAAAGATGCTTCCGGCAGCACACACGGTCCTCTCAGGCTTTCTTATAGTAGCAAAAGGCCTGTGTCCGCTGTACCCACTCACCTGCTAACTTCCTGGCCATCTGTCAGCACAGACCACCGCACCAGAGGGATCGAGACCCACCTGCCTCACCAATCCTCACAGCAGCTTATTCAGAGCATGTGTGCCCGGCACCCCGAGCTCAGAGAAGGATCCCTATGCATGCCTAGGCAAGGCTTGCCCCATGCCACACTGCACTAAGAGTCACATCATAAGGCACCATATGTGTGCAGATCTATAATGACAAGTCCTGCAGATGGCACTCAAGTGACAGAAGGAGCCCTTTTGTTCATTTGCACAAAGGCTCAGCATAGGTGAGTGGAGGTCAGAGAGGCCACTGATGGGAGAGGAGTGGAGACCAGGAATCCTGACCAGAGCCAACCCTGAAATGGCTCTTTGAGCTGGCCCTTGGCCTCTGGAGGCCCAGCTTGGATTCACTCTTCTTTTTCTCAGAGGCCATCCCAGGCCAAACCTCTTGCTCTTCTTGGAACCCTTTCTATCCTGACCCCCAAAGACCCTTCCCTGTGTAGCCTGCACTGACTCACAGTACCCCCCAACTTGGCCTTTAGGTCCTGCTCAGCTGTGGAGGTGGAAAGAGAATGACCCCCAAGGCCATGCTGTTGCTGCAGCAAGTCATTTAGCTTCTGAGTCTAGGATTTCCTACCTGTATAGTGGGAAGAGATCTCCTGCCCCAGAGGGATGCTGTCAAGTGAGCCAGTGGGCTTTGTGTCACGCAGTAGGTGCATAGTGAAGGGAAAATCTCTGGGCTGTGGGCTCCTTCAGGGCAGGGATGGCCTGAGATATTTCTGGGTCCTCTGGGTCATAGCCTACTGGGACACAGAGTGGTGCTGGAATGTGGCATGAAGAACAGAGGAAGGGATGGGTATACAACTGTGTGATACAGGAATGCTTCAGGGCTGCAAGTGGACAAGGCTACTGTTGTCCTCACTATCAGCCTTAGGGGTCCCAGAGTACCAAGGGAAGGAAATTTCATGGCACTCCAACCTTTCCTTGCACAGCCCTGCAGCTGCCAGAGAACAGGATACAGTCTGAGTCAGGCTGGGGCTGGGGGGGGCATCCCTGGAGGGGCTGAGTAGTTCCTGGGCACATCCAGTGGGAGCTGGCAGCAGGAGTATGAGAGAGACTCTTGCAAGAGGGGCCAGAAAGGGCACGGGGAAAGGAGCTGGGCCAGGACCGCCCCTGGCTGTGGCTGGCCAGGGAGCCGCACTCAAGGATGGAGGCTATGATGGAAAACCCCAGAGACGGGGTCATTCAGCTCCCTGAGCTCTGCCTCACCCCCTCCCCATTCCTGCCCTGACTCTGTAGGCAGGCAGACCCTCCATTCTTTTTTTTTTTTTTTCCCATCTTTTATTTATTGATTTGGTACAGCGTCTCGCCACACAGCTCCTCCTGTTTTCAGCCTCCACAGCACTGGGATTACAGGCATGCACCACCATGCCTGGACTGGGTAGCTGACTCAGCTTGCTGAGGGTGGGGCTGGCATGGCCTGTGGTGCCGGGGATTGAACCCTGGTCCCTGCGCTTGCATAAGCAGGCACTTAGTCTGCTGAGCTATCTCACCGGCCTTAGACCCTCCATTCTGTCTGAGCCAATTTCACTGGGGGTGGATAGTCCTCTCCCCAGCCCGCCAGCCTCACCCCTTCCTGTCTCTGCCCTGCCCTGCCCACCTCAGGTCTCTCTTATTAGCAATGGGGCTCTCAGGCACAGAACAGGACTACAGCCACAAACCCCAACCCTAGACAGGAAGCGAGGGCTGCGCTGCCAGGGTGCTAACGCCCTGCTGGTGCAGTGGCCATTCACTCTAGACTGTTGCCCCAATCTGGGGACCCCACAGGGTATGAAGCCTGTCCCTGAGGTCCTGCAGTAGAGGGTGGAGTCTGAACTCCGGGGTCAGCACAGCACCTGGTCAGGAGCTGCCAGCCCCACCCTGGCAACACTGACTCTCGGAATCACAGCCACTTGGAGCCAGCTGTTCCACTCAACTCCTGTCCCAGCCATGTGTCCCCAAGGCCAGAGATTTCAGTAGCTCTGGAGATGGGGTGCCTTCAAGAGGTGGCCTGGTACTGTGCCCCAGAACTCTTCCAAGATCCCCAGCCTGGTGGGCAGGTGTGTCTGGAAGCCAAGCCAGCTGCTGCTGAGTGACCCCAACTGGGGAAGACATTTCTCTGAGACTGGCATCCTGCTCTGGCGATGGAGACAGCAGTACTGGCGTGCTGTGCAGAGCACCAACTCACACGCATGTATGTGGCATGGGCTAG